GTCCACGCAGCACTGGTCCCTGCGTCGCGGGGGATCTCAGGGAGTCCACGCAGCACTGGTCCCTTAGCCACAGGGAGTCCACACAGCACTGGTCCCTTAGCCACGGGGGATCTCAGGGAGTCCACGCAGCACTGGTCCCTTAGCCACGGGGGATCTCAGGGAGTCCACGCAGCACTGGTCCCTGAGTCACGGGCAGTCCACGCAGCACTGGTCCCTGAGTCACGGGCAGTCCATGCAGCACTGGTCCCTGAGTCACGGGCAGTCCACGCAACACTGGTCCCTCAGCAGACAGAACGTCCACCCTGCCGCCGAGAGCGCACATTCGCTGTGCAGCACAGGCTCTGTCTCCTGCGATGCTAGTGTAATGTTAAAGTGAGTTTGTTTTCACGTGCGCTTACTCACAGAGTAGGTTAGCAGGAGGAAGACATAATTTGCTCTCCCACTGCCAGCCCAGACGTCAGATTGTTGGCACAGCCAGTTGAGAAGCGTGGGCACCCCTCCGGCTCGCCAGCCATGTGTTTCAGAGCTGGTGGGGGGAGACGTGGAGCGGAGTCTCGCCACGCCACAGTGCCGGCTCGGGTTGTCTGTGATGGGTACCTGTGCAGTGTTTGCTGGTGACCTTGATGACTGGCGATAACATCGTGACACAAGTTACACTTGTCCTCCAAAAGCAAGGACTTCCGGCAAAGGGCTCATCTGTGGGGCAGGGTACCCAGGGCAGAGGGGGAGACTGTGTGACCCTAAAGGGTCGGCAAGACACTTCCTGGTGATGGAGCCATGCTGAGCAACAGGGAGCTCGGCTGCAGGCTGTGCAGACACTGTTCTGGGGAGCAGTGGGGTGTTCTGCGGGTGTTGGAGCTGTGGGCCATCCAGCTGTTCTGAGGGGATGGGGTGTCCTGAGGGGATGGGGTGTCCTGAGGGGGATGGGGTATTCTGGGGGGGATGGGGTGTCCTGAGGGGATGGGGTGTCCTGAGGGGGATGGGGTATTCTGGGGGGGATGGGGTGTCCTGAGGAGGATGGGGTGTCCTGAGCGGGATGGGGTTCTGAGGGGATGGGGTGTCCTGAGGGGGATGGGGTATTCTGGGGGGGATGGGGTGTCCTGAGGAGGATGGGGTTCTGAGGGGATGGGGTGTTCTGAGGGGATGGGGTGTCCTGAGGGGATGGGGTGTCCTGAGCGGGATGGGGTTCTGAGGGGATGGGGTGTCCTGAGGGGGATGGGGTGTTCTGAGGGGATGGGGTATTCTGGGGGGATGGGGTGTTCTGAGGGGATGGGGTGTCCTGAGGGGATGGGGTGTTCTGTGGGGATGGGGTGTTCTGTGGGGATGGGGTATTCTGAGGGGGATGGGGTGTCCTGAGGGGGATGGGGTTCTGAGGGGATGGGGTGTCCTGAGGGGGATGGGGTGTTCTGAGGGGATGGAGTGTCCTGAGGGGGATGGGGTGTTCTGAGGGGATGGAGTGTCCTGAGGGGGATGGGGTTCTGAGGGGGATGGGGTGTTCTGGGGGGATGGGCTGCTCTGAGGGCTGAGGCGTTCTGAGGCAGGCTGGGATGTTGTGAGGGGTGAGGAGCTAGGCTCAGGAGTGCTGAGCTGCTGTGAGGGGTGTGCGAGTCGTTCTGCAGGCTGACTGGGAGAGGTTACTTGCATCTACACATGTACTAAAATTCAAAGCACTGCTCAACAAAACTAATTTTATTGAATAATAATTGCATAAAAATAGATGCTGACAATTATTAATAGAATACTTAAAATTTAATTACAAGGTTGTGTATATAGAGTCTATCATCAAAACTTTATAAAAATAAACATGTATTAACAGAAAAAATATTTTAAATTATGCACATACTATAAGGACGTGGAGTTGATATGCGTAACTGCTGGAGTGTTTTTGCCTCCTTTTGTGCAACTTCAACTTTACTTTTTCTAGATGAGCGATAAGGTATGTAAACACGTAATCATGTCTGCAACATACCATACCTGTTAATTACACGTGGTTGTGTCACTCAGTGAAGCATGAAGAGTGTAGATATGTGTATCTGAAACATTTGTATTGAAACGCACAGACCTGTCTTTCATTCTTACACATATAACATCTTCTATATCATATATACATGTTTAGCTATCTGTGTTTCTAATATATAGAATGTGTGTGTCACATGCTCACAGGGACAGCTGTCTTTCCTTCTGACATGTATGTAATACCTGCCACACATGCATGGGGATAGCTGTATTTCTGACACATGTATAATATCTGTCACATGCACACATGGACAGATGTCTGATACATGTATGTGTGTCACACGGGGCAGCTTTCTTTCTGACATGAGTAATATCTATCACATGCACACAAGAACACCTGAAATGTTAGTCTATGTGTCACATGCACACAGGGATAGCTGTCTTGCTGATATGTGTAATATCTGTCACATGTGCACAGAGGGACAGCTCTCTGACACACATGTAGTATGTTACATGCACACAGGAACAGCTCTCTGACACATGTGTAATATCTATGTCACATGCACACAGAGACAGCTGACATGTGTAGTCTGTGTCACATGCACATGGGGACAGCTGTCTCTGACACACGTGCCCGGGGACAGTTGTCTTTCTGACATGTGCACGGGGACAGCTGTCTCTCTGCCACACATGCATGGGGACAGCTGTCTCTGACACACATGCCCAGGGACAGCTGTCTTTCTGACATGTGCCTGGGGACAGCTGTCTCTCTGCCACACGTGCATGGGGACAGCTGTTTCTGACACATGTGCCTGAGGACAGCTGTCTCTGACACACGTGCACGGGTACAGCTGTCTGACACACGTGCCTGGGGACAGCTGTCTCTCTGACCCACATGCCCGGGGACAGCTATCTCTGACACACGTGCCTGGGGACAGCTATCTCTCTGACACACGTGCCTGGTGACAGCTGTTTCTGACACACGTGCCTGGGGACAGCTGTCTCTGTGACACACGTGCACGGGGACAGCTATCTCTGACACACGTGCCTGGGGACAGCTGTCTCTCTGACACACATGCATGAGGGCAGCTGTCTCTCTGACACACGGGCCTGGGGACAGCTGTCTCTCTGACACATGTGCCTGGTGACAGCTGTCTGACACACATGCATGAGGACAGCTGTCTGACACACGTGTGTGGGGACAGCTATCTCTGACACACGTGCCTGGGGACAGCTGTCTCTCTGCCACACGTGTGTGGGGACAGCTGTCTCTGATACACGTGCCTGGTGACAGCTGTCTGACACACGTGCATGAGGACAGCTGTCTCTGACACACATGCACGGGGATAGCTGTCTCTGACACATGTGCCTGGGGACAGCTGTTTCTGACACACGTGCCTGGGGACAGCTGTCTCTCTGACACACGTGCCTGGTGACAGCTGTCTCTGACACATGTGCATGAGGACAGCTGTCTGTCTGACACACTGCCTGGGGACAGCTGTCTCTCTGACCCACGTGCCTGGGGACAGCTATCTCTGACACACGTACCTGGGGACAGCTGTCTTTCTGACCCATGTGCCTGGGGACAGCTGTCTCTGACCCACGTGCCTGGTGACAGCTGTCTCTGACACACGTGCGTGGGGACAGCTGTGTCTCTGACACACGTGCGCGGGGACAGCTATCTCTGACACATGTGCCTGGGGACAGCTGTCTGACACACGTGCCTGGGGACACCTGTCTCTCTGACCCACGTGCCTGGGGACAGCTGTCTGACACACGTGCCTGGGGACACCTGTCTCTCTGACCCACGTGCCTGGGGACACCTGTCTCTCTGACCCACGTGCCTGGGGACAGCTGTCTCTCTGACACACGTGCACGGGGGCAGCTGTCTCTCTGACACATGTGCACGGGGGCAGCTGTCTGTCTGACCCACGTGCCTGGGGACAGCTGTCTCTGGCCCACGTGCCTGGGGACAGCTGTCTCTCTGACCCACGTGCCTGGGGACAGCTGTCTCTCTGACACACGTGCACGGGGGCAGCTGTCTCTCTGACTGTAGTATCTCCAGCCCTGAAGGTGGAGCAGGCCACACGGTTGGCAGGGTCCCTTGTTGAGCTTCACTGAGATTTCCAGACGTCAGCCTCAGATCCTCACGCGGGTGCTGGGGCCGAGAGCCTGCCTGGGGCCAGGCCCCACCACGGGCGCTGCTGGCACACGGAGGCCAGGAAGCTGTCATTTTATTCCATCAGAATGCGTCTGCTCTGCCTGGGTGTGAACTCTGGCCTCTTCTTGCTGGCTGTGGGACCCAGGCAGGTTTGGACCACATACGGCATCAGAGCCTGGGTTTGGGCACGGCCTGAGTGTGGGTCCTGCCTGCCTGTCATGTATGGCCGCAGGCGTCTTCCCTGCCAGTGAGGTGGGAAATGGGAGCCCACGGTCTGCTGTGGGCCGCTGCCCACTGGGCACGCGGTGAGTTCTCAGTGTGGAGCTGCGCTCGCTGGGGCAGGCAGACCACGGGGCACACGTTATTCCACTGACCTAACCCACTGCAGGTAAACCATTTCTGTTCCATTTGAACGGAGACTGGACATTGCCTAAGCCCAGTTACTGGAAATTTGTTTGAGAGTAAATGCCTTACTGACAGCCATGACATCAACAGTGTTTAAGAACCACTAGAGTGGCAGAACATCACCGAAGCCATGTTGGGAGACATTCCGCCAGCATCCCTCCAGGCTGGCTGGGCACGAGAGACACAGGGGACTGCTGAGCGCTCCCAGGTTGGAGGCAGCCCGGACAGGATAGGGGAGGAAGGGCGGCGAGGACGTGGGTTCCGGTGTGGCGGCCACACAGCTTCCTGGCTGTGAGCCTGGTGCCAGGCTCGGGCATGACATTGACCTCCAGGCTCGCTGCATGAGGGGCCTCTGTCTGTGCCGCCTTTGCAACTTTTCTCCAAGTCTAGTTTCTTTGAAAATAAAGGTTAGAAGCGGGAGGGCGGCAGAATGTGTGGAAATGGCTGCTATAGATCATTCCGCGTCCCTCAGCACCGAACGCCCTGAAGTGGGATTCCGGCATTTCCGCCCCGAAGTGTTGGGGCGACGTGGCCTCAGGGCAGCGGTCTTCCTCTCTTGCAGACAAGGTGTACATGGGCCCAGGGCAGCTGTACCAAGACCTCCAGAACTTGCTGCACGACCTCAACGTGATCGGCCAGATCACTCAGCTGATAGGAAACCTGAAAGGGGTCTATCAGGTAGGCCGCGGGGCACCTGGCTGCGAGACCCCGGTGTCCCGGCTGAGGTCCCTGTGTGCGTGGTCGTGTCGCCAGGCTGCACCTGCTGGCTGGGAGGGTTCACCCCGCCTGTAAGAATCACCCGGCCGATGGGGCTTCAGGTTTCTTCTCCTGCAGGCACAGCTGGGTGTCAGTTCTGTCCCAGCAGAGGCTCAGCGGTGCCACAGCCAGGCCTGACCGGGCCTCTGTCCCTAGACAGATGCAAATGTTTTCTGTCCCTAGACAGATGCAAGTGTTTTTTGTCTCCCGGGAATCTTCACGCTACAGTGTTGCTTTCCCTCCTGCTGCGATGATGCTCCGATACTCCTGCCTTGGACGCCACTCAAATGTATTTATTTCCTTTGCAGAACTTAAACCAGGCGGTCGCCCACGACTGGACAGCAGGATTGCAGAGGCTTATCTTGAAGAAAGAAGATGAGATCAGAGCCGCTGACCGCTGCAGGATCCAGCTGCAGCTCCCGGGCAAGCAGGACAAGTGAGCAGGGCCCGGCCAGCGCCGCCTTGTCACAACGTCCACATTCGCGGTTTGGGGGCTGCTCCAGGCCGGCCGGGCACGTGCTTCCGCTTCGGCCAGGGGAGCGTGTCCTGGGACGCGACTGAGGGCATGTGTGCGTTTCCTGACAGGTCCGGGAGACCCACGTTCTTCACGGCCGTGTTCAACACCTTCACCCCTGCCATCAAAGAGTCCTGGGTGCACAGCCTGCACATGGCCAAGCTCGCGCTGGGTAAGCTGTGCCTGATGGGCAGGGCTGAGGCACACCCACGTGAGGGGTGCATACCCGTGAGGATGAGATCAGGCTCGGGACACAGGCCTGGCCGGAAATAGCGCTCTGCCCGCCTTTAACCTGCAGGGCTGCGTGCTTAGACGCAGGAAAAGTTAACCCCACACCAGTGAGTCTGAAGCAGCTGTCGTGATGGAGGCACGGTAGGAGCCAAGCCGTGGCGTGCCTTCACGGCAGCAATGCAGCAGGCGCACTGGACAGCTGTGTGAGCCTGTGTGCCGTGGCGGGGACAGGTGGGCCTCGTGCCGGGTCCAGCGTGGGTCTCTGACGGGCAGCCTGGTCCTCACTGCTGCCTGTCACACGGCATGTAGTGCGCTAACTCACACACACGCAGAGGTGCTGCCCGAGCACGCTGGGGTGGCGCACTGTGGGCATGCGGATGTGTGTGTATGTGCATGTGCTGGTGAGTACGAATGCATTTGTGCATGTGCATGTATGTGTGTGGATTTTTGTTTGCATATGTATGTGTGTGTTTGGGGTGTGTGTGTATGTGTGGGATATGTGTATGTGCACATGTGTATGTGTGGGGTGGGCATGTGTGCATGTGCGTGTGTATATGTGTGCTTGTATGAATGTACCTGCATGTTTATGTGTGTATTGTGTGTTTGCATATGTGTGCATATATGAGTGTATGTTGTGTGTACACATGTGTGTGGATGGATGTATGTGTGATTGTGAATATAAATGTATTTGTATATTATGTGTGTATATATGTGTATTGTGTGTTTGGGGTATGTGTATGTGTGTATGTATGTGTGTGTATGTGTTTGGGGTGTGTGTGTGTATATGTGTACGTGTATTATGTATGTATGTGTGTATAGATGTGTGGGCTGTGTGTATGTTTGTGTGTATGTGTGTTTGAGGTGTGTGTATGTGGGTATATGTGTATGTGTTTGGGGAAGGTGTGTATTGTGTGTGCATGTGTTTGAGGTATGAGTGTATGTGTGTGTATATGTATGTCCATGTATTGTGTGTGTATGTGCATTTGTGTGTATGTGTGTATGTGTGTGGGCTGTGTTTGTGTATGTGTATGTATGTGTGTGGGGAAGGTGTGTGTATTGTGTGTGCATGTGTTTGGGGTGTGAGTGTATGTGTATGTATGTCCATGTATTGTGTGTATGTGCATTTGTGTGTATGTGTGTGGGCTGTGTTTGTGTATGTGTATGCATGTGTGTGGGGAAGTTGTGTGTGTGTGCATGTGTTTGGGGTGTGAGTGTATGTGTGTATATGCGTGTGCGTGTATTGTGTGCATATGTGCATTTGCGTGTGTGTGTATCTGTGTGTGTACAGACCCATCACGTGCACACTATCTGACCCGTTGGCTGTAAATATCAGGCAGGACCGAGGCGCCGCGGCTGTCTCTCCCGCGAGCTGCACCTGGACACGGTACTGCCCCTTCGCTGCCCTGTGATTAGTGCTTCGTCATGCTGGGTCGGGTCACAGTGACTCAGCAGCCCTGGAGAGGCCCCGCAGGGCAGAATCAGCTGACTGTGCAGCTCGGCCCCTCCGTCTTTACGTTAGCCAGATGATCTTCCGAGCTGGGGGACGAGCTCTGCATTTCTCTGCACACCTGCACCGCCCAGAATCACATGCTGTCTAACACATCCACTGCGTGTCCACCTTTCCAATCTCAGCCTTGACAGCAGAACTAAGCAGAGGCAGGAAATCAGAAATCAGACCTACCCGGCTGACCCAGTCTGCACGGTGGCAGTCCAGGAGCAGCGCGGAGGGTGCGGGGTCCCACGGAGGTGGCCTGCGGCACTCTGCAAAATAAAGCAATGGGCGTGAGGTGCACCCGAGAGCAGATGGCGCGGCTGTAGTACTCCGTTTACAAGCAGGGCATCAGTGGCGTTGTGGCACCGGGGAGCCACGGGTTTCTGTGGCGGCCGAGCCCACATGGCCCTCGTTGCTTCTTTCTTTCCTCACAGAAGAGGAGAACCGCATGGGCTGGTTCTGCGTGGAGGACGACGGTAACCAGATCAAGAGGGAGACGCACCCCCTCCTCGTGGGACACACGCCTGTGATGGTGGCCAAGCAGCCGGAGTTCAAGGTGCCCTGTGCGCCCTGCGGGATCCCCGCCTCCTCCAGCTGGCGCCCTGGGGGCCCTGAAGGGGGCATCGCCCCAACCCCGCCTCCCCGGGCCAGTGCTTCCCAGGGGAAGTTCACCCACAAGCGGTTTCATGCTGCTCGGCCGTTGTCCTGGGCGCAGGCCCCTGGGGCTGACCCTGCAGGACACTGGGCCGTGAGCTCTGCTGCTACAGCCCAGGCATGGAGACCTGCTGGCTTCTGCCGGCTCCCTGGGGTGTGGCTGGGCAGAGTGCCCCCTCCCCTGGCCTGGTGTCTGCCTGCAGCGCAGGGTGGGCAGGAGATGGGCTTGGTGACGTCTGCAGAATGGTCGGTCCTTTTAAATGATATTTATTTACTTATTGGCAGCGCAGAGTTAGAGGGGGGAGACACAGAGAGAGAGAGAGAGAGAGAGAGAGAGAGAGAGAGGGATCGTCCATCTGCTAGTTCCCTCCCCAGATGTCCACAATGTCTGCAGCTGGGCCAGGCTGAAGCCAGGAGCCTGCATCTCCTTCCAGGTCTCCCTCGTGGCTGCAGGGCGCATCTTCCACTGCTGTGCAAGGTGCATTAGCAGGGAGCTGGATGGGAAGTGGAGCAGCCAGGACTTGAACCTGCGCCCATATGGGATGCCGTGTTGCAGGCAGCAATTTAACCAGATGTGCCAGGATGCTGGCCCTTCGGTGGCTTCGGGACCTGTCTGTAAGACTAAGTCAGGGCCGGCGCCACGGCTCACTTGGCTAATCCTCCGCCTGCGGCACTGGTACCCCAGGTTTCTGTCCCGGTTGCTCCTCTTCCTGTCCAGCTCTCTGCTGTGGCCCAGGAGGGCAGTGGAGGATGGCCCAAGTGCTTGGGCCCTGCACCCACATGGGAGACCTGGCTCCTGGCTTTGGATCAGCACAGTGCGCCGGCCATGGTGGCCATTTTGGGGGTGAACCAGCGGAAGGAAGACCTTTCTCTCTGTCTCTATCACTGTCTAACTCTGCCTGTCAAATAAAAAAAAAAAAGACTAAGTCAGGACACCGTGAGCTCTGGCTGCTCTGTGGCTGCACTGACCCTCGGAGCCCGGGTATCTCGCCGGCCCCCGGGACTGTTCCCTGTGACACCTCACAGCACAGCCCGGGCAGCGAGGGCACAGGCGGGCAGGGACGAGCCGTCCCTGGGCTGTGCTTCTGCCTGGGGCTTCCCCTCCTTGTGTCGCTGCCTCCTGGTGGGTGAGGGGACCCAGAACACGACCCCAGCAGCAGCCCCTTAGATGTCCCTGTAGGACATCAGCCCTGGGATGTCCACCTGAGTCCCCTGCCCGTGCTGCCTCCGCGTGTGACAGGCCAGGCCCCAGGCTCTGGGGGCACGCGGAGCCCGGGAGCCACGCAGTCCCTTGATGCCTGCGTCCACTCTCCTCCTGTCTCAGATCGAATGTGCTGCTTACAACCCTGAGCCGTACGTCAGCAACGAAAGCCAGCCGGACCCCTGCTCGGCCGCCCGCGGCTTCCTGTGGGTGAGCTGCTGTGTCCTGGTCCTGGTCGTGGTCCTGGTCGTGGTCGACGCGCGTTCACGGGAGCCGGAGCTGTGGCCAGCGTGGCGGGGGGCTGCCAGCGCTGTCCTCACACAGGGGCAGGGTCGGATGCCATGAGAACATTTGCTCTTTTCTTTCTCGTGTAAGACTCTCCCAGCTTAGATTGAGTCCAGACCCGGGCCGCTGATCTCACACGAGGACCATCTGAGGACTGCTCCCGGTTTGGGGGTGACGCTCCCTGTTTCCCCCACTCCCCGGGACCTCGCTGGCCTCTCACAGTGGCAGCCCAGCGGTTAAAGTTAGTTTGTCCCCTGGGAAGTCCAACATCTGGGTGGGGCTCAGCGGCAGCCGGCCTCTCTGCTTCCTGTCGGGGAGTGACCTGGGGTCTCGGCCTCTCCTTCCGCCCCGGAGCCCCCTTCCCTTCCTGGCCCTCCTCACAGCCCCGTGCCTATCCCAGACTTCGGCCCTGGTGCCTGCCTCCAGGCTCACTTCTCCCGCTCCGGGTTGGTCTGCGTCCTCGGTAGGTGTTGTTGGAACCTCCTGATCAGCTGGCTGGTGTTTTGTTTGTGCCGGCCTGCGGGTGAAGAGGTGGCCCAGTCCCCGCGGGGTTTGCGTTTGCAGAGCGCTGTTTCCCATCCAGCTGGTTCTGTAGCCGTCAGTACTTCCCGGGGCCCAGCTCTGGGGTTTGCATGGGCGCCCATCCCCAGAGAAGCTCAGGCAGGCTCCTGGGCTGCGTGGACCCAAAGCAGAACCAGTCCCAAAATAGGTGGGAAGAAGAGCCGTGCGCTCACCAGGCACTTGTCAGCTGACACCCCGCAGTTAGCGTCTGGCAGCCGTGGGAGGCGCTGGCCACGCAAAGACCCAGACACTGGGATTCCAGAGCCCAGTGCCCCTCCTCGTCCGGTGTCGCACGCCGGGGACCCACTGCGGGGCCGTTCCTAATGAGTGTCACTGTTTGGAAGACTTGGGCCCTTGGATAAGCTCTAGCCCCAGAGGGAACGCATTTGCGTCATCTGCTTCCCAGAATCGCGTGTGACAGGCCGTTACCCTTGTGCAGCGATGGGTTTGTGTTTTTTGAAGCATGTAGCTTTCTGAAGGTTGAACGTTGTGCCCCTGTTAATACGTAATTCTATATGTTGAGTAGAGTATCTTGAACAGAAAGGAGGCTGTGTGAGCCGGCTGTGTGTCCCCACCTGCTGTTCTTGCGTTTCCCATGGGAAATCGGTGCTGGCCGTTGCTCTCATGGAGTGGGGCGTGGCGTGGTGGGGTGTGGTGTGCCATGGTCATTGCCCTCTCATGGTGGGGTGTGGCGTGCCATGGCCATCGCCCTCATGTGGTGGGGTGTGGCGTGCCATAGCCGTTGCCCTTGTGTGGTGAGGCGTGGTGTGCTGTGGCCATTGCCTTTGTGTGGTGGGGTGTGGTGTGCCATGGCCATTTTGCCCTCATGTGGTGGGGTGTGGCGTGCCGTGGCCGTTATCCTTGCATGGTGTGGAAGCGTCCGTGTGTGGCCTCATCACTTGTCCCCCTCGACTCCTCTGTCCAGATCGGAAGCTGTACCCAGCAGATGGGTCAGATTGCCATCGTCTCCTTCCAAAACACGGCCCCCAAAGTCATCGAGTGCTTCAACGTGGAGTCCCGGATCCTGTGCATGGTGTACGTCCCCGTCCGGAGCAACCACACGCAGCCCAGCACGGCCCCTGACCCTGAGCCTGCAGCCCCGAGAGCCGCGGACGTCCCCACCGTCTGTTTGGGGACGGAGGAGGGAAGGTAGGATCTGGTCACTGCGCCTGAGCAACCCGCGTCCGCTGGGTCCGTGGACGGTGGCCAGGCAGCCAGCAGCAGGAGGCTCGCTGGCCCCGTGTGTGGGAACCGTGGGACTCGGGGGGCAGGGTGCACTGGGAAATCACCAGGAAAAGGTAGTCCTTTGGGGGGGCGGTTTCAGCCCCACCACACTATCTGCTTCCGAAATGTCTTATTTATACTCCTGCTTTTTAAAATAGCCCAGTCCTTCCTTACTGAGGGAGAAAACAGCCATATCTGTGTTAGAATCACCTGTTGACAGGAAAGTTGGGACGATCGTCCCCACGACGGGTCCCACACAGATGGGAAGAGCTAACGTTTTTATAGCCAAGAATTCCCTTTCAAAATGAAAGAAACTGGGGGCTGGCACCATGGCTCACTTGGTTAATCCTCCGCCTGCAGCGCCGGCATCCCTTATGGGCACCGGGTTCTAGTCTCGGTTGCTCCTCTTCAAGTCCAGCTCTCTGCTGTGGCCCGGGAGGACAGTGGAGGAAGGCCCAGGTGCTTGGGCCCTGTACCCGCATGGGAGACCAGGAAGAGGCACCTGGCTCCTGGCTTCAGATGGGCGCAGCGCCGGCCGTTGCGGCCATTTTGGGGGTGAACCAACAGAAGGAAGACCTTTCTCTCTCTCTCTCACTGTTTATAACTCTACCTGTCCAAAAAAAAAAAAAAAAAAAAAAAAAAAAAAGAAAGAAATCAAAGCGGTCACAGGGACTGTGGAGGTGCGGCCAGGCGCGGGGGAGGGGGGCCCGCCGCGGTCCTCCTGGTAGGCGCACCTGCCGCCTTCCTGGGAATGGCCCGCTCACCGCGTGTGTCTCTCCTTGACAGCATCTCCGTCTACAAAAGCAGTCAAGGCTCCAAGAAGGTGAGGCTGCAGCACTTTTTCACACCCGAGAAGTCCACGGTCATGAGCTTGGCCTGCTCGTCTCGGGGTCTGTACGCCGGGCTCGTCAACGGGACTGTCGCCAGCTACGCCAAGGCTGCAGGTGAGGGCGCCTCTGGCTCCTGGCTGACCCTGGGGCGGTGTCGACCTCGTGTCCCCTGTGGGCCTTGTGACCTTCTCCTTCCCAAAAGGGAGGCCTTTGGGGACACCCCGCACCCCACAAAGCGCCTCCTGCTGCCCTCAGACACTCCTGCCCTGTTACTGTTCTCCTTGGAGCCTGGAGGCCTCCAGGACAAGCTGCGCCGGGTCACTGCATGGCCAGCCGTCCCCACATGGGGCAGGACTCCTCTGTCCCCACGTGGGGCTGTGCTCTGGTCCCTTCTGGCCTGGGCATCCCTGGTGGCCCTGGTGTAGCCCCCAAACCCTCTCTAGTCTTCCTCATCGTGCACGGCCCCAGCTCTGCAAGGCTCCTGGGAAGACAGGAGAGACCGCCGTGGAGGCGTGGGCCACCTCGCTGTGCTGTGAGCCCCTTGGCCAGTGTGCTGCCCGTTCCTGGGCTCTGTCCAGCCTCCTGCACCCCGATCCATGACTCTGGTGCAGGCGGCGCTGCTGGGGTTCCGCTCTCTTGAGCACTCCCCGAAAGGGGTTTTCGGCTTCCTCTCTGGAAGCCTGCCTTTTGAGGGGTCACCTTGCTGCCTCAGCCCTGCTGGCCCAGTCTCCCGGGGACGGTGCTGCCACGCCGGAGACGAGCCTGGAGCCTGCCCCAGGACGCCGTCTCACTGCAGACCTGTCCAGGCTCAGCTCATCAATGCTGTGGCCCCGAGTCCAGTCCCCCGGGTACCCGACAGGAGTCTCAGGGACAGCGTTCCCAAGACGGGGTCTGAGGGTCTTGCCCGTGAATGCTGCTCTGGGGACGGGACTCGGTCTGGGTCCCACCCCTGCACCACGGCCCCATGTCTAGATCACCCACCCACAAGCTCCACTGTTCCTGGCCCCCTGCCCCCTGCCCCCTGCCCCCTGCCCCCTGCCCCCTGCCTGGATCCCCGGTCCCCTGCAGCCTCATTCCCGCTCTCCTGCAAAGCATGCGGTCTCTTTCTCTCTCTCCCCAACCTGCAGCAGGCGGCCCTGGCCCCTCGGCCATCTCGGCCGTCCCAGCTGGCACCTTGAGCCTTGCCATTGCTGGCTCCGGGCACTTCCCTTCCCATCCCCCCTGGGGGCCCAGGCTGACCTGGCTCCCATCCGTGCCTCCCTCTCTCCAGTAAACCTCAGCTGGCTCCCACCTCCCTTTCTCTCTCTCTCTCCCTTTCCCCCCCAACCCCTTCTCCCCCTCTCTTTCCCTCCTTTCTCTCCCGCCAGTAAACCTCACCTGTCCCTGCCCCCCCCCAGCTGGCCTCACTGGCTCCCGCCCTGCTCTGGTCCCTGCCCCACCCCCAGCTGACCTCACTGGCTCCTGCTCTGGTCCCTGTCCCCCCCAGCTGGCCTCACTGGCCCCTGCTCTGGTCCCTGTCCCCCCCCAGCTGGCCTACGGGCTCCCGCCCTGCTCTGGTCCCTGCCCCCCCCCCCAGCTGACCTCACTGGCTCCTGCTCTGGTCCCTGTCCCCCACCCAGCTGGCCTCACTGGCTCCTGCTCTGGTCCCTGTCCCCCCCCAGCTGGCCTCACTGGCTCCTGCTCTGGTCCCTGTCCCCCCCCCAGCTGGCCTCACTGGCTCCTGCTCTGGTCCCTGTCTCCCCCCCAGCTGGCCTCACTGGCTCCCACCCTGCTCTGGTCCCTGCCCCCCCCCCCCAGCTGACCTCACTGGCCCCTGCTCTGGTCCCTGTCCCCCCACCAGCTGGCCTCACTGGCTCCTGCTCTGGTCCCTGTCCCTCCAAGCTGGCCTCACTGGCTCCTGCTCTGGTCCCTGCCCGCCCCAGCTGGCCTCACTGGCCCCTGCTCTGGTCCCTGTCCCCCCCAGCTGGCCTCACTGGCCCCGCCCGTGCCTCTGTCTCCCCGTTAGCCCCTTGATTTCCATTCTGCCGGTGACCTTGCTTTCTTCAGTGTGACCCCCCCATTCCCATATTCCATCTTGACACCTGCTGCCAGCCCCTCGCTGGTCCCCTCGGACGCCCAGACGCACCAGTAACGGCGATGCCACGTTCTCGTAGTTCCTCGTCGGACACGGTTTCCCTGTGTGTGAAATGTTGCCAGAGTTCTGGTTGCTGGGTTCTGGGTGCTGCTCGGCCAGGGAGTTCTCCCTTTCTGCTTGGGTCCCTGTCTCCAGCCTTACACGTAACAGTGAATTTATCCAGGGGTAAGGTGCACACGCGTGGGGGCTGGAACTACAGCAGCCGCGTGCAGCTCCTGCGAAGCCACCCCACCCTCACCGTGTCCCCGCGGAGCCGCTTCTCACATCTGCGGTGCCAGCTCGCAGCCAGGTCACCTAGGCGGAGCTGGGCCATCAGGCTCTGGGAGGTGTCAGGTAGCACAGGGCGGCCCCTTCCGTCACAGGGTCACAGAGACACCCGGGAGCCACGGCCCGAGAGGCGCCAGCAGCCGCGCTCCTGGACAGCGCTCTCGGTGTCTGTAGGAGGCACAGCTCAGGCATCGGAAAACAGAGCTGCCGCTGGACGTCAGCGCTGACCCGAGGCCGTGTCCGAACTGGGTTAGCCGAGCTCACTCGGCTCCTGTTCCAGAGGAGCTGCCGTCAGCCGCATGGCGTTGGCCGTCCCAGCAGGCAGTGCGGGTCTCCCCCAGGTCAGGGACCCTGCAATCAGGGTGGGGGTGGGGTCTCCCCCAGGTCGGGGACCCTGCAGTCGGGGAGTGGGGTCTCCCCAGGTCAGGGACCCTGCAGTCAGGGGTGGGGTCTCCCCAGGTCAGGGACCCTGCAGTCGGGTGGGGTCTCCCCAGGTCAGGGACCCTGCAGTCAGGGGTGGGGTTTCCCCAGGTCAGGGACCCTACAGTCAGGCAGGTGTGGGGGTCTCCCCCAGGTCAGGGACCCTGCAGTCAGGGGTGGGGTCTCCCCAGGTCAGGGACCCTGCAGTCAGGCAGGGGGTGGGGGTCTCCCCAGGTCAGGGACCCTGCAGTCAGGGGTGGGGTCTCCCCAGGTCAGGGACCCTGCAGTCAGGGGTGGGGTCTCCCCAGGTCAGGGACCCTGAAGTCAGGGGTGGGGTCTCCCCCAGATCAGGGACCCTGCAGTCAGGCAGGTGTGGGGGTCTCCCCAGGTCAGGGACCCTGCAGTCAGGGGTGGGGTCTCCCCCAGATCAGGGACCCTGCAGTCAGGGGTGGGGCCTCCCCCAGGTCGGGGACCCTGCAGTCAGGCAGGTGTGGGGTCTCCCCCAGGACAGGGACCCTGCAGTCAGGGGGTGGGGGTCTCCCCGAGTTTGGGGACCCTGCAGTCAGGCAGGTGTGGGGGTCTCCCCAGGTCAGGGACCCTGCAGTCAGGGGTGGGGTCTCCCCCAGATCAGGGACCCTGCAGTCAGGGGTGGGGTCTCCCCAGGTCAGGGACCCTGCAGTCAGGGGTGGGGTCTCCCAAGGTCAGGGACCCTGCAGTCAGGGGTGGGGTCTCCCCAGGTCAGGGACCCTGCAATTGGGTGGGGGTGGGGTCTCCCCCAGGTCAGGGACCCTGCAGTCAGGGGTGGGGTCTCCCCAGGTCAGGGACCCTGCAGTCAGGGGTGGGGTCTCCCCAGGTCAGGGACCCTGCAGTCAGGGGGTGGGGTCTCCCCAGGTCGGGGACCCTGCAGTCAGGGGTGGGGTCTCCCCAGGTCAGGGACCCTGCAGTCAGGGGTGGGGTTTCCCCAGGTCAGGGACCCTGCAGTCAGGTAGGGGTGGGGTCTCCCCCAGGTCAGGGACCCTGCAGTCAGGGGGTGGGGTCTCCCCAGGTCAGGGACCCTGCAGTCAGGGGTGGGGTCTCCCCCATGTCGAGGACCCTGCAGTCACACAGGGGGTGGGGTCTCCCCAGGTCAGAGACCCTGCAGTCAGGCAGGGGAGGGGTCTCCCCAGGTCAGGGACCCTGCAGTCAGGCAGGTGTGGGGGTCTCCCCCAGGTCAGGGACCCTGCAGTCAGGGGGTGGGGTCTCCCCCAGGTCGGGGACCCTGCAGTCAGGGGGTGGGGTCTCCCCCAGGTCGGGGACCCTGCAGTCAGGGGGTGGGGGTCTCCCCCAGGTCGGGGACCCTGGAGTCAGGGGTGGGGTCTCCCCCAGGTCAGGGACCCTGCAGTCAGGGGTGGGGTCTCCCCCAGGTCAGGGACCCTGCAGTCAGGGGTGGGGTCTCCCCTAGGTCGGGGACCCTGCAGTCAGGGGGTGGGGGTCTCCCCCAGGTCGGGGACCCTGCAGTCAGGGGGTGGGGGTCTCCCCCAGGTCAGGGACCCTGGAGTCAGGGGTGGGGTCTCCCCAGGTCGGGGACCCTGCAGTCAGGGGTGGGTTCTCCCCAGGTCGGGGACCCTGCAGTCAGGGGTGGGGTCTCCCCCAGGTCGGGGACCCTACAGTCAGGCAGGGGGTGGGGTCTCCCCCAGGTCGGGGACCCTGCAGTCAGGCAGGTGTGGGGGTCTCCCCCAGGTCGGGGACCCTGCAGTCAGGGGGTGGGGGTCTCCCCCAGGTCGGGGACCCTGCAGTCAGGGGGTGGGGGTCTCCCCCAGGTCAGGGACCCTGGAGTCAGGGGTGGGGTCTCCCCAGGTCAGGGACCCTGCAGTCAGGGGTGGGGTCTCCCCCAGGTCGGGGACCCTACAGTCAGGCAGGGGGTGGGGTCTCCCCCAGGTCGGGGACCCTGCAGTCAGGCAGGTGTGGGGGTCTCCCCCAGGTCGGGGACCCTGCAGTCAGGGGGTGGGGGTCTCCCCAGGTCGGGGACCCTGCAGTCAGGGGGTGGGGGTCTCCCCCAGGTCAGGGACCCTGGAGTCAGGGGTGGGGTCTCCCCAGGTCGGGGACCCTGCAGTCAGGGGGTGGGGGTCTCCCCCAGGTCAGGGACCCTGGAGTCAGGGGTGGGGTCTCCCCAGGTCAGGGACCCTGCAGTCAGGGGTGGGGTCTCCCCAGGTCGGGGACCCTGCAGTCAGGAGGTGGGGTCTCCCCCAGGTCGGGGACCCTGCAGTCAGGAGGTGGGGTCTCCCCCAGGTCGGGGACCCTGCAGTCAGGGGTGGGGTCTCCCCCAGGTCGGGGACCCTGCACCCATGGAGCACGAGGCTCTCAGAGAACACCCTGCTTCTACTCTGCAGCCAGGTGTCCCCATGCGACGTGGAGGCTGCGTTGCCTCTAGGGCTGCTGGAGGCAGGTGGGAGGCTCTTAGACCTGTGCGTACACACACCTGTGGATGAGGGTATGTGTTTGCTGTGGGAGTGTACATGGAAGCATGCATGTCATGTGTGTGCATGTGTGTGCATGCATTTGTGGGTGAATTGTGGTTGTGCTAGTGTGCTCGCACGTGTGTGTGAGTGTGCATGCATGCATTTGCCTGAGCATGGAAGTGTGTGACCACATGGTGTGGACCCAGTGTGGACACTGCAGTCTTCATAAAGGAAGTCCGATGTCCGTCAGGGCTATAAGGGGCTGTCCCGTCAGGCCTTTCAGCCTGATGGCAGGTGGCCGCGTTGTCCCTAAGGCTGGTGAGGCCTTTCAGCCTGATGGCAGGTGGCCGCGTTGTCCCTAAGGCTGAGCCGTGACTGGAAGTGTGCCTCACAAGCCACAGCTTGCAGCCTTGCCCTCAGCCCCGAGGGTGGAGAGGAACTTGTGTGTGCGCAGGTTCCTCTTTCTAAACCCAGAGCCGAGAGGTCAGAGCCGGCCCCTGTGCCCTGTGAGCAGGGCAGGCTGATTCCCCAGGAGGCCAGAGGCGCTCGGGCTTAGAGGCGTCCTGCCCCTGGCCTCGGCCAGCCGCATTTACTGCGGGGCGATTACTGCAGGCATTTCTGAAACTTGTGTTAAATCCTTTTTGTAAATGCTGTTTTTTTTTTTTTTTAAGATTTGTTTATTCGAAAGTCAGAGGGTCAGTGCTGTGGCATAGTGGGCTAAACCTCTGCCTGTGGCACCAGCATCCCATATGGGCACCAGTTCATGTCCCAACTGCTCCTCTTCCAATCCAGCTCCCTGCTGTGGCCTGGGAAAGCAGTGGAAGCCGGGGCAAGTGCTTGGGCCCCTGCACCCACGTGGGAGACCTGGAAGAAGCTCCTGGCTCCTGGCTTTGCATCAGCTCAGCTCTGGCCACTCTGGCCTTTTGGGGAGTGAACCAATAGATTAAAAATCTCTCTCTCTATCTCTCCCCTTCTCTAACTTTACATCTCAAATAATTTTAAAAAAAAGTTACAGAGAGCATCAGCTAACAGAGGTCACTCCCCAAGTGACCTCAATGGCCAGGGCAGAGCCAGGAGCTTCACCTGGGTCTCCCAGCTGGGGGCAGGGGCCCGAGCACCTGCTTCCTCAGGCCATAGCAGGAAGCAGCCGGGACTCGAACCAGCGCCCACGTGTTCTGTGGCATTGCAGGTGGTGGTTTATCTGTTGTACCGCAGTGCCGGCCCCCTTTGTGTTCAGTCCTGCATAATTCCACTGGGGTCCGAGCTGCCAGCCTGCATGTTCTGTGAGGCCTGATAGACGTCCCCTGTGCGCCCTCGCCCCTCGGCTTCCACACAGGGAGTCCCCTCCGCTCAGCTCTGGTTTCCCTCTGCAGGGAGGATGAGTGTGGTCCGTCCTCTGAGTGTTTTCGCCAAAGGACGTTTTCACACGGAGGCAGGTCCTGGGGGCACGGGAGCATGGATGCTGGCCTCGCTGGGTGCATTCCAGGCATGGCAGGCCACGCTGTGCCATGTGCTGTTGCCGTCCGTCATGGTCGTGCCGCACGCCTGTGCGCCAGGCCCTGTGATCTGAGCTTGCACAGGCACCCTCCCTGCTAGTTCTCAACGCAGCCTTGGAGGCCAGCAGCAGCACCGTGCCCATTTTACACATCAGGAAGCTGGGTTTAGGGCGAATGGGTCCTTTGTCCAGTACCCAGTGGAAGACCTGCCGATGGCCTCTTTGTAGCCTCCTGGGCCTCTGCACACGCCCGGGACCAAGCCCGGCACCCACGGTGCAGGTGGACTGTGGTCGCCTGTTTTGGGTGAGCTGCGATCCCGTCTCCCTGTCCCTGTGCCCCTGTGTGACCTGAACTTGAAGGGAATTCGAGGACATGTTTTCTTTCCAGATGGATCCTGGAACTGCGAGCCTCAGCACGTGATCAAACTGGGCGTCCTCCCGGTGCGAAGCCTGCTGGTGATGGAGGACACGCTGTGGGCGGCTTCCGGAGGCCAGGTCTTCGTCATCGGCCTGGAGACGCACACCGTGGAGGTGGGTCCTCTAGTGCGCGCCCACGCGTGTCCCCGCGGCTCCCAGCGCGGGAAACCAGAGCAGCCTCTGACACAGAGCTCTCGGGCGGCGCCGGCCTGGCCGTGAGCTGAAGCAGACGCCCTCTGGGTTATGGTCGGGAAGACAAGCTTAGCTGGGAATCCCCTGAGGCCAGGTCCTGGGGCGTCCTAGCGCGAGCACAGCCACTGGAGATGTTCAGGGTGCTCGTCCGAAGGTGCTCTGTGTGTTCAGGGTGCTCCATGTGGTCAGGGTGCTCCATCTAGAGGTGCTCCATGTGGTCAGGGTGCTCCATCTAGAGGTGCTCCATGTGGTCAGGGTGCTCCATCTAGAGGTGCTCCATCTAGAGGTGCTCCATGTGGTCAGGGTGCTCCATCTAGAGGTGCTCCATGTGGTCAGGGTGCTCCATCTAGAGGTGCTCTGTGTGTTCAGGGTGCTCCGTGTGGTCGGGGTGCTCCATGTGGTCAGGGTGCTCCATGTGGTCAGGGTGCTCCATCTAGAGGTGCTCCATGTGGTCAGGGTGCTCCATCTAGAGGTGCTCCGTGTGGTCAGGGTGCTCCGTGTGGTCAGGGTGCTCCATCTAGAGGTGCTCTGTGTGGTCAGGGTGCTCCATGTGGTCAGGGTGCTCCATCTAGAGGTGCTCCATGTGGTCAGGGTGCTCCATGTGGTCAGGGTGCTCCATCTAGAGGTGCTCCATCTAGAGGTGCTCCATGTGGTCAGGGTGCTCCGTGTGGTCAGGGTGCTCCATCTAGAGGTGCTCCATCTAGAGGTGCTCCATGTGGTCAGGGTGCTCCGTGTGGTCAGGGTGCTCCATCTAGAGGTGCTCCATCTAGAGGTGCTCCATCTAGAGGTGCTCCTTGTGGTCAGGGTGCTCTGTCCAGAGCAGGCAGGCCCGCCCCTCCCTGCCCAAAGCCCAGGTGAACACGGACGGAAGCATCAGCTGACCGGAGCAGGTGGTCAAGCGCTTTTGTTCCTTTACAGTGGAGAGGTCTCTGCACGGCCGCCACGGACCCAGCAGTGGTCGTGGCACAGAGAAGACGGTGGGTTAGGGTGGTACAGGGTCACTGCTGCCCCGTCCAGTGCTGTGCGTGAGTGTGCGCCGAGGTGCGTGTGACTGACAGAGCCGGGAAACGCCTCCTGTGCACTCTGTCCAGAGCCTTCCAGGAAGAGGCCGAGGCCTGGAGGCAGACGTGCACAGAGCAGTGACCTGACCTCACTCACGCTGGGACACGCTCACACGCTGTCCCCCGCCTGCACACACATACAGTGGCACTCCCATGGACCATGACAACTAGCCCATGTGACATAAATGCCATAACATACATGGTATGCACATGTCACATGACACACACCACAACACAACGTAACATGGGACAACCATCACAACACACATGTAACACACTGACATGCATGTGACATACATGCTGTACACACGTGTAACACACGGCACATGTGATGTAAACACTATAATACACCTATAACATGCATATGACACAAGCACTGTAGCATGTAACATGTGAAACACACATAAATGCTATAATTCAACATAACATACAAGTGACATGCTTGATGTAAACACTAAAATACATATGTAGCATACATGCGACACAAACACTATGACACATGTAGTATGCATGTGATGCAATATGACAAATGCTACCATGTGTAACATATATGTGACATGCATGTGACAGATACTGTGCCACATAGGTGACATGTATGTGATACAAAGCATGCGTGCAATCATGCCTTCACTCACCATGACAGACACTTGCCACACAGAGCATAACAATTCACTCCCACACTGTGGTATGCACACAGGACACATGACACACACAAGATACATGTCACAGCACCGTGTCTCCCCAGCACAGGGCCCCTCCACGGCAGAGCACGGCTTGGCCACACTGCGGTCATAGTGGCCGTGTTGGGAGGCGCTGCACAGGTGCTGTCCCAGGCCAGGGCGGGAGATCAGGCCTAGCTACACACACGGTTCCTGCTTCCGGGTTCTGCAGACTCAGGGGCGCCACCCCTGGGAGCTCTTCCAGGGCTGGGCCAGGCCACAGCAAGAGCCTGCAGCTCCATCCGCTCTCCCAGCACTGGGGCCGTCTTCCTGTGCCCTCCCAGGTGCATTGGCAAGGGGCTGGATGGGAAGTGGAGCAGCCGGGACTCTATCCAGTACCCGCATGGGGGGTGCCAGTGGCACAGGCGGCCTAACCGCTGGCCCCTGTGGTGGCGTTTTGCTAAATTGCCTGCATTTGACCAGCTTTGTCACACACACACACATGCACACGTGCGTGCACGCACGCACACGCCCCTAGAGGGGGACGCCCGCATTCCATCCTGGGGACCCCGACTGTGGGTGCTGGCGCCGTCTCTGGGGCTGCACAGCCAGTCGGAAGCTCCAGCCCTGCACTGCCCCAGTGAGGTCACCACTGTCAGAGCCGGCGGGCCCTGAGTCCTGCCCTTGCCCGAGCGAGCAAGCGAGTGAGCGTAGCTGGGTGGCTCCCATCCCCAGGCTGGGCGTGGGCAAGGCGACAGCTCGGCGTGCCTGGCAGAGAGCGCTGCGTGGTCGCCGTCTTCGCGGTCAGGACGAAGCCTCGTTCCGGGAGACGCCCAAGGGCCGGGAATAGCATCTGGTGAGGTGCTGTGTGCTTTGCTTTTCCGGCAGATCAGGAATAATCATAGTGCGGCAGTCCTTTAGGACGCTTCTCCAAAAATAATGCGTCGCTTCTGTGTGAATTCTGCCCAGAGAGGCTGGAACGATGGCTTCCGCAGCCTTCACTAATAGCAGGACGTCCCAAAATTGTGACTGTCGTAACCAAAATACCGTTTCCAAATGTTCTAAGGAATTTATATGCTGTAGATCTCAAAGACTGAGAAATAATATTTTTGGATCCAAATATGTCTCTTTCTGTGCGTATTTTAGTGCTGAAATAACTGCATTTAGAGAGAGAGCTGCTGCCGCCTTAAAGAGGGAAATTTACACTGAGGTTGCTGGTGGGCGGGGCCCACCTGCTGGGAGGGCAGGGGCTGTGCAGGGGCCCTGTGGGCAGTGGGCGTGGGTTGAGCTGCCTGGGGTCTACGCAGGGGTCAGGGCTGCCGGTGCGGGCAGGAGTCGGGCTTTTACAGGTGCGGCAGCAGGCTCGTGTCTGCTCTGGCCGCCAGCTGCCCAGAGACTGCGGGAGCAGCTGGGAAGTGGAGCGTGGAGTCCCACAGGCGACTACCACAGGCTCCTGGATTCCGTGGTGGGGTCGGAGGCTGGGGTGGTGGGCGCCCTGTAGTCATTGCAGAGCTGAGCGGCAGCCTGCCTCGGGCTCACCAGGAAGCAGGGGTGGGGCGTCAGGGACCCTGCAGGGGGCGAGTGGGGCCCTGAGAAGGCAGGGTTGGAGCGCCGTGCCCGCCACCCCGCCCCGGCCGTGATTCCTCGGGGCTCTGCACTCGGCCCCAAAGGCCAGAAGCACCGTGAGCGTGAGCGTTAGCAGCAGGTGAGGGGAGCCAGCCAAGGACACACAGCACCGGGCTGGATCTGGAAGACACAGGAGTCTTGGCGGCGGTGGCGAGGGTCTTCCCAGCAGCCACCAGAGAGCCTCAGGGCTGCCCCGCCGCCTCAGGCTGAGGAGGAGGGAAGACTGCCTCTCGCACTCTGCGGCAAGGGTGACTGACTAAAGGCCAGGCAGACGCGGCGAGCACGGGGATCTGCAGGCCAGGGCCGCTCCTGCGTGCATGCGGGACCCTCAGCAGGGCACAAGGTGTTTCCAGGAGTTCCTGGGAAAATAGCACTAAAAGATAAGCTTGTGTTGGTGCAAAAAATGAGATAGGTGACACTTTATTCTCTATGTGTATGAATAAAGATGTATTGATTTACTCGGAAGGCAGAGTTAGGGAGAGATCTGTTCACTGGTTCACCCCCTAAGTGGCCACAGTGGCTGCAGCTGGGCCAGGCAGAGGCCAGGAACTTCCTCAGGGTCTCCCCCGTGGGTGTGGGGGCCCAAGCACATTACCAGGAGCTGGGTGGCAAGTGGAGCAGCCAGGACTCGAACCGCTGCCCATCTGGGCCACCAGCATGGCAGGCAGCAGCTTTACCCATGCGTCAAAATGCCGGCCAGACTTTTCCCACGGTGCGCGGTTTTCATGAATGTCTGGAGGCTGCGTGCATGAATTTCGGAACCTCCCTGCACCCAGGGTTATCTCGCAATCCAGTTTGCGTGGAGGTGGGAGATATACCTGGAAGATAACTTCAACAGCATCTTGAGCGAGCGTCCACCGTGGCCAATTGACATTCACCCTGAGTGTGAGGGTGACTCAACCTGCGGACCCCGGGCAGCCCAGGGTCAGCCCAGGACTCCACATGGACAGCGTGAGGCAGGGCGGAAGGAGCCGCAAAGCCGTCTGACAAAACCCCCAGCCAGCTCACGATGGCAGGTGCCCAGCCCAGGGCTTCATCGCGCAGGTGCTTAAGGATGGCTGGCTTCCCCCGGAGGGCAGGGAAAGGACACGGCCGTTACCTCTCACTCAGTGCAGGGGGGCTGTAGCCCCAGGGCTGGGTGCAGAACACAGAGTGGGGCGCCCAGGTGCAAGGAACCCGGGAAATCCTGTGTGTGTGACATGCTCTCCTGTGGGGGGAGTTGTGTGTATGTGTGGCATGCTCGTGTGTAGGGAGTCATGTGTGTGCATGTGTGTGTGACATGCTGTCGTGTGTGTGATTGACGTGCTCTCCTGTGTGGGGAGTCGTGTGTGTGCATGTGTGTGTGTGACGTGCTCTCCTGTGTGGGGAGTTGTGTGTATGTGTGGCATGCTCATGTGTAGGGAGTCGTGTGTGTGTGCATGTGTGTGTGAGATGTGCTGTCATGTGTGGGCAGTCTGTGCATGTGTGGCATGCTCTCGTGTGTGGGGGGTTGTGTGTGATGTGCTGTTGTGTGTGTGTGACGTGCTCTCGTGTATGGGGAGTCGTGTGTGTGCATGTGTGTGTGACATGTGGTCATGTGTGTGATTGACATGCTCTCGTGGGGAGTCATGTGTGTATGTGTGACATGCAGTCATGTGGGTGTGACATGCTCTCATATGTGGGGAGGTGTATGTGCATGTGTGTGTGACATGTGGTCATGTGTGTGACATGCTCTCATATGTGGGGAGTTGTGTGTGTGCATGTGTGTGTGACATGCTCTCCTGCGTGGGGAGTTGTATGTGTGGCATGCTCGTGTGTAGGGAGTCATGTGTGTGCATGTGTGTGTGTGACATGCTGTCATGTGTGTGTGTTATTGACGTGCTCTCCTGTGTGGGGAGTTGTGTGTATGTGTGGCATGCTCGTGTGTAGGGAGTCGTGTGTGTGTGCATGTGTGTGTTAGATGTGCTGTCATGTGTGGGGAGTCTGTGCGTGTGTGGCATGCTCTCGTGTGTGGGGAGTCGTGTGTGTGATGTGCTGTCCTGTGTGTGACGTGCTCTCATGTATGGGGAGTCATGTGTGCATGTGTGTGTGTGACATGCGGTCATGTGTGTGTGGTTGACATGCTCTCGTGTGTGGGGAGTCTGTGTTTTGTGCTCTTGTGTGTGAAGAGTCATGTGTGTGTGAGATGTGCTGTCATGTGTGGGCAGTCTGTGCATATGTGGCATGCTCTCGTATGTGGGGAGTCTTGTGTGGGGAGTCCTATGTGTTGAAAGTCATGTGTGACGTGCTCTCATGTATGGGGAGTCGTGTGTGTGCATGTGTGTGTGACATGCGATCATGTGTGTGTGATTGACGTGCTCTCGTATGTGGGGAGTCGTGTGTGGGGAGTCCTGGGGGGGGAGTCGTGTGTGTGACGTGCTGTCGTGTGTGCATGTGTGTGACATGTGGTCATGTGTGTGTGCATGTGTGTGTGACGTGCTCTCGTGTGTCTGCCCCCATCCTGCACAGACCTGTGAGATCTAATCAGATCAGCAAGGTCGCAGGAAGCAGATTGATTTGTGAAACCTGTTTGATTTCTCTACGCTAGCAGTGAGGCAGCCGTGTTACGGAGCATCCGGGACAGCACGCTCCGAGAGGAGTGGGACAGGAACGGCTCGAGCCCTGTGCTCTGAGGGCGCAGGGCCTCCTGGGAGAGGTTGGAGAACCCCGGCCCGAGCAGATGGCAGCGCGTGCTCTGTCTGTGGCTTGAAGGCTCAGTGTTGGTAGGAGGGAGAGGCCGCAGATGGATCCAGGTTGAGCACCGTCCCTGTCAGAACACCAGTGCTTTCTTAAAACAAAACGTAATCAGAGCCTGAAATTCACATGCAAATAAATGCAAGGGCCCGGAATGCCCAAGCACCCTGAGGGGCAGCGCTGAACGCACGCTCGGCTCTTCCTGCACAGCCACGCGATGGAGATGGTGCGGCGCTGGCGCGGGGCAGACCAGCAGATGGAGGACAGAGCCCGGCGGAGCCGCGCGTCCACCCGTGGTCCACTGATTTTCAGCGAGGAGCCAACACAGCTTGGTGCAGAAACTTCCCCACACAGTGCTGGCGCAGCTGCAAGCCACGCGCCTGAGAGATTTCACCCGACGGCACAGCACACACACAGCTCAACCCAGCAGGCCAAGCCCACGTGGGAGAGCCAGACCATAGCAGGCTAGAAGGAAACGTGGGATAGCTCGTGGCGTTGGGCCAGGCCGTGGTTCCCGGGATAGGCCACCCACAGCCCAGGCAACCGATGGGAAAAACAGAGAAACTGAACTTCATTGAAAATCAACGCGTAGCTGCTGCCGAGACCACTATCAAGGCGGTGTGGAGACAGCCCTTGGGGCGGGGGACGTTTGCGGTGCCTGTGGCGAGGGGCTGGGGGCAGCCACACGGCATGACCGGCTCTACGTGCTTACCGATGAAAAGAAAAATAAGCCGACTTCAAAATGAGCCAAGCTGCTGCGGGACACTCCTCCAGAGATCCCGTCGGCCCACGTACACCGGAGTGGAACCGCGGCGTCATTAGGGAGCCGGGCCCAGCTGCCTTGTGCTGCCGCTGCACAGACGCTGGGTGTGTGAGTGTGAGTGTGTGCACACGCGTGTGCATGTGTAAATCACGGGCTTTGTATGCTGCAGGCTGGGGTGTAACGTGGAGCGCTCTTGGAAAACAGTTTCTCAGCTCCTCAGAAAGTGACACGCGGAGTTCCTCGTGACCTGGCATTTCTAGTCGTAGGTGCACGCCCATGAGCATTCAACATCCGTGTGCACAAGAACTCGGACACACTTCCACGGCTGCATTGCCCATAGCAGTCAGGGAGAGGGGTGTGCAGCCCAGGTGCCCACCCGCTGGCGCGTGGACCAACAGGACGTGGTCTGTGGGAGCTTACTGCCCAGCTGCAGAGACCTGAGGCTCCACGCGTGTCGCAGAAAAGGAGGCCGACATGCAGGCCCCGTGTCACGTGATTCTGTTGATGGACAGCATCCAGGATGGGCAGGCCCACAGACAGGAAGTAGACCGTGAGTCGTCGGGGGCCGAGGGCGTGGGAGTGAGAAGTGACCGCTCATCGGCGGTGAAGTGTTGTGAAATGGGTGAGATGTGGTACCACACAACCTTGTGATGTGTGGGTTTTATCTTGATTTCACCAAAAGGGGGCCATCCACTGGGTTTGGCACTTGTGGAGGTCCTGGGGCCTCCTGGCATCAGCCTGAGCCCAGTGGGGACAGTGAGGAGGTGTCCAGTGGCCACAGAGGCGGGGGACACGGGAGCCACAGCTGGACAGGGGTACGAGGCTGCTCTTTCTCAGTGAGGTGAGTGAGACACCCGCTGGGGCTGAGCGCCACAGGCAGAGAGGGCGCAGTCCAGCAGGAAACAGGAGTCGGGCCGCAGGAGCTGGTGCGGGCGCGGGGGGCGCTCACCGGCGCCTGCAGTGCTGCAGGGCAGGGCCGAGGTTGCAGGTTGACAGACAGGTGGCTGTGGGCCTGGAGCCCCTTGCTCTGGGCAGAGTCAGAGGGGAGCGGGAGGCAAGGGGGTTGAAGTAGACCAGAGCTCGAATAATCCGGAATCAGAACCCAACCTCCGAACTCCAGGCCAGAACTCTTGGTCTGCACGTCTCTGGGGCCTGTGAAATCCATTCGTGAAAATACTGTGGATCTGCCGGGCAGAGGAGCCAGAGCCCCTCAGGTCAGTGGCCTGAGGGTCCCTCTGTAACAGCGCTCGCTGGTTCCTGTCCCCTGGTGCATGGCCGTGGCCACGTCGGAAGAGGAAAAAGGGGCTTGGGAGGAGGGGGTTTAGAGTTGACTATGGGGGGGAGGGGTGTTTTAGCAGCGGGTGGCCCTTAGAGAAACCTGCTAACCCTGCTTTCTGGCTGGTGACAGGGCCCCTGCCCTGCCCGACGCACGTGGGGTTTGCTCCTAGGGCAGAGAAAGTGTGGCGTCCACCGAGGAGCACAGTGGTCGGGCTTGGGACTGCTCAGGCCAGCCTCAGCTGGGCCAATCTGGAATCCCGATCCCCAGCCCCAGGCCTCCCCTCCCCTCACAGCTGCTCCCTGGGGCCCTGAGCTCCGGGCCCAGCCCCAGCCAGGCCCACCTCTCCCCATGGACCCCTCCCTTGAAATGAGGTCAGATGCTGTAGCCATGTGGCTGCTGGCCATCCCCAGTGCAAGTCAGCACGTCCCCTCAGCTCTGTTTAGTGAGAGCGGTGCGGGGCTGGCCGTGGGGCACACGGAACCCTGACGGCCAAGCTCGGGAGGGGAGGGCGTTGAGAGGCTGAGCAGACAGGGCCTCCCCTGCGGTGTTGGGTGGCCAGCAGCCTCTCCCTGTCCTCGGACTCCAGGGCCAGGGCAGCCCATCTGTCTCTCTCCTGTGGAGCTGTCAGCTTAGTGTGTTCCAAGTCAGAGCCGCACAGGACCTGCTGTGTGCGACTGTGCACGGGGTCTCGAAGCCCCACCCCCACCCTCCTGCTTCCTCCCGACAGGCGGGAGCAGCAGCTGCAGCCGTTGCTGCAACCAGGGAGGAGCTCCTGAGGCCCGGGGGCACCCACGGCATGAGCAGAGCCGGGTGCTGGACACGGGCCCAGGCGGGAGCCTCCGTGGGTCCCCGCAGGGCAGGGCGTGGGGACAGGGTCTGTGTGCAGCGCTGCCAGTGCCCGGGGCCAAGGCCTGCGCCTGTGACATCTCGCCCCTCCCACAGAGTCAGCTGGAGGCACACCAGGAGGAAGGCATGGTCATCTCCCACATGGCCGTGGCCGGCGTCGGCATCTGGATCGCCTTCACCACGGGCTCCACGCTGCGGCTCTTCCACACCGAGACACTCAAGCACCTGCAGGACGTGAACATCGCGGCCCCCGTGCACCACATGCTGCCAGGTGGGGGGGCGGGACCATTACACGCGTGTGAGTGACGCCAAACCCCGTGCACCACATGCTGCCAGGTGGGGGGGGCGGGACCATTACACGCGTGTGAGTGACGCCAAACCCCGTGCACCACATTCTGCCAGGTGGGGGGACGGGACCATTACACGCATGTGAGTGACGCCAAACCCCGTGCACCACATGCTGCCAGGTGGGGGGGCGGGACCATTACACGCGTGTGAGTGACGCCAAACCCCGGGCACCATGTGCTGCCAGGTGGGGGGGACGGGACCATTACACGTGTGTGAGTGACGCCAAACCCCGGGCACCACGTGCTGCCAGGTGGGGGGGCGGGACCATTACACGCGTGTGAGAGTGACGCCAAACCCCGGGCACCACATGCTGCCAGGTGGGGGGGGACAGGACCATTACATGCGTGTGAGAGTGACACCAAACCCCGTGCACCACGTGCTGCCAGGTGGGGGGGGACGGGACCATTACACACGTGTGAGAGTGACGCCAACACCCGTGCACCACGTGCTGCCAGGTGTGGGGGAGGGGCATGGGGCCACCCCACGCGTGTGAGAGTCACACCAAGACAGAGCGTGGTTGCTACAGGCCGTTTCCGTGCTGGGCGGAGCCGGGACCTTGGGTGGGAGGGCGAAGGACGAAGCCATGAGCTGGGTGTGAGGATGCAGCGGGGGAGGGCTTACCCAGGGCTGCACATGCACAAAGCAGGAGGGGCCCTGAACTGTGTGTGACCAGCGTGTGTAGGCCTGTAGCTGGTGTGTACTCATGGGTGTGTCACTGGTGTGTGTGAAGTAGCTGGTGTGTGTGAACATGTCCCTGGTGGGTATGTGTGTAGCTGGTGTGTGCATGTAGCTTTCGTGTACCTGTGTCACAGGCATGTGTGAGCGTGTCCCTTGTGTGTGTCACAGCTGTGTGTGAGCGTGTCCCTGGTGTGTGTGAGCATGTGGCTGCTGTGTGCCTGTGTCACAGGCATGTGTGAGCGTGTCCCTTGTGTGTGTCACAGCTGTGTGTGAGCGTGTCCCTTGTGTGTGTGAGCATGTGGCTATTGTGTGCCTGTGTCACAGCTGTGTGTGAGCATGTGGCTGCTGTGTGCCTGTGTCACAGCTGTGTGTGAGCGTGTCCCTGGTGTGTGTGTCACAGCTGTGAGCGTGTCCCTGGTGTGTGTGTCACAGCTGTGTGTGAGCGTGTCCCTTGTGTGTGTGAGCATGTGGCTGCTGTGTGCCTGTGTCACAGCTGTGTGTGAGCGTGTCCCTGGTGTGTGTGTCACAGCCGTGTGTGTGTCCCTGGTGTGTGTGTCACAGCTGTGTGTGAGTGTGTCCCTGGTGTGTGTGTCACAGCTGTGTGTGAGCGTGTCCCTGGTGTGTGTGAGCATGTGGCTGCTGTGTGCCTGTGTCACAGCTGTGTGTGAGCATGTGGCTGCTGTGTGCCTGTGTCACAGCTGTGTGTGTGCGTGTCCCTGGTGTGTGTGTCACAGCTGTGAGCGTGTCCCTGGTGTGTGTGTCACAGCTGTGTGTGAGCGTGTCCCTGGTGTGTGTGAGCATGTGGCTGCTGTGTGCCTGTGTCACAGCTGTGTGTGAGCGTGTCCCTGGTGTGTGTTTCACAGCTGTGAGCGTGTCCCTGGTGTGTGTGTCACAGCCGTGTGTGTGTCCCTGGTATGTGTGAGCATGTTGCTGGTGTGTTACATATGTGTGCGAGTGTGTCCCTGGTGTGAGCACGTCCATCACTGCTGTTGCAGCGTGTGTGGAAGGGGTTGTGTGTGGTCCTGGGCTGCGGTGCTGGTGAGGTGTCACCACGGCTGCTGCACGGGGACAAGACCGTTCCCAGGTGGCGTGGCGGCCAGGAGACCCTGGGACAGACGCCGCCCAGGCCCTGGAGCCCCTCAGCCCCCAGCGTATCTCAGTCTGGAGGGGAGGCAGGACAGGTCTGACAAGGACTCGAACCCAGGGACCCCGGGCCGAACAGCAAAGGTCAGTGCAGGGCTTAGCTCTGGGGTCTGACGCAGGCGCAGCGGGGGGGGGGCAGCCACTCGTGCACCCCGTGCTCCCCACTTCCTCGCTGGGAGTTGTACAGGAGCCGGGGTGTCCCAAACACAACTGCACAGGAAGTAGATCTCTCCTCGCCTGCCAGGCTGGGCAGCCCCACGGAGCTTCCTCCCTCAGGCTCCCTCCCTGTCCGAGGACGGCCCCACTCTCTCCGTAACCCGCCCCCCAACCTGCTGTGCTTTCCCCAAGCGTCCTCAGTGTCGGTGCTACAGGCTGAACGTGATCCCTAACTCCCACAGGGAGCCCAGTGCCCGGAGGCATGGCCAGGAGGCGTGGCCTCTTGGAGGGCGTGAGCGGGGAGCCCCATGAGGGGACCCGTGCCCTGGCACAGTGAGCAGGCGACCAGGGCTCGGTCCCTCTCTCCCTGCACGGGCCAGCGAGAAGGCACGGCCTGCCGACTGAGACCTGGGACCTCGCTGCAGACCCGGGCTACAGCCCCTAGAAGCTTCCATGCTCTGTAGCCCTGCCCCATGGCCTGTGCTGTGGCAGCCCGGAGGACACAGACGCAGGCTGGCCTCGAGTGCCTTCCTCTCAGGCCACATGGTCACCACCAAAGCACAGGCACCTCCCGGGGTCCCTGGGGGTCCCAGGTGCCACCGGAGGCGGCTCGGAAGGCTCCAGACTTCTGTCCGAGCATGACCTGCAGGAGACTTGGACCCTTTGTTCACAGCTCGCGAGGGCAGGGGCCAGAGGCTGTCCCCGCGCTCACTCGGTCGTGCTGGGCTGTGGTGTCATTGGACGGGCTGGGCGAGGTGGCCCCGGGTCACTGTCTGTGATTCAGAGGGGCCGAGTGGAGGCCTCCTTCAGGCTGGCACCTCACAGAGACCGCTGTCGCTCCCGGTCACCCTCGGTGTGTGTTTCGACTCCAGCCGTACATATGTGTGCGCCACGTACAGCATCTAGCACCAGCCCCACCACTGCGCCACTGACGCTGCCTCTGTCCACTCCAGCCATCTGCAGACAAACCCTTCTCCACGGCCACGGCTGGGCTCGCCCTCACCCCCTGAGTCGAGCCCCACAGAGCCCTGTAAAGACCTGTGCCACCCGTGTGCTCGGTCCCCACGTCTGCTGCCACCCTGCCTCGCCCCCAGGCCAGGCGTCCCAGGATCCGGCAGCAGCACCAGTGTTAGATGCATGAGAGGCGACGCCAGACCACCAAGAGGGAGCCCAGTGCCTGCTCATGGCAGGGAAGGGACCCAGGTGACAGAGTGACCCCGTGGCCCAGCTCCACAGAATCCGGGGGACCCTGGCCATGCCTTTAGCCCAGGGGCCATTTCTCTCACTTCCAGTACTGCAGTATTTCTCAGGATGTTGGCCCCACACAGGGGCAGTGGGGGTGTTCCAGCAGGTGCACCCCACATCCAGTGGCTGAGGAAGGGGTGCTGGCACCTGGCAGCCCCATCCAGAGGTGACAGTGAGAGTCTCCCTGCCGTGAGACTGGTAATGCCGGAAGCCGGAATCATTACTGTGAGACTGGTAACGCCGGAAGCCGAGTCCCTGCCATGAGACTGGTAACGCCGGAAGCTGGAGTCATTACTGTGAGACTGGTAACGCCGGAAGCCGGAGTCATTGCCGTGAGATTGCTAACGCCAGAAGCTGGAGTCATTGCTGTGAGACTGGTAATGCCGGAAGCCGGAGTCCCTGCTGTGAGATTGCTAACGCTGGAAGCCGGAGTCATTGCCGTGAGACTGGTAACACCGGAAGCTGAGTCCCTGCTGTGAGACTGGTAACGCCAGAAGCCAAGTCCCTGCTGTGAGATTGGTAACGCCGGAAGCCTGGGGTGGAGAACGAGACGTCAGCCCTGTTCTCTGGCACAGTTGGGAAGCCGGGTGCCTTCGAGAAGGACAGGTGCACACAGTCGACAGGTGCCACCGCTGTCCACCAGCAGTGCTGGCCCGCTCGCGGCTCGTGTGCTGACTTGGCATGCAGTGCCCGCCCGGCACTCCCCAGGCTTGCCGGGGCCCACCCCCGCCCGCTAGGCTGCCATGCCCTGAGCTGCTGTCCAGGAAGCCGGGAAGCAACGGTCAACACCTGTGGCGCCAGCTTCTCACCCTGCCTTGCTTCTCGTCAGTTTTGAAACAAGCACTACACACCTGTGGGATGGCTCCATGGACGGACTGGGCCGAGACCTGTCTCTGAGGCCGCGTCACTCAAAACAGGCAAGCGTTCAGAGTCCCTGGGACATAAGGATTCTCAGCTGTTGACAGCTAATGTGAGGGGCTGGTGTCGCTCCCCCTCTTCATGGAGGAACGACACTAAACCCTGCCTAGGCTTCATATCCGAGTCACGGCACCATTATGTCGCTCCCCCTCTTCGTGGAGGAACGACACAGGACCCTGCGCTGTTCTTTCGTCTGCTCGGCCCTCCCCGGGTTTGCTGCTGGTTCTTCCCGGGTTGGCTACTGTCCCTTCCACCTCCGTGGAAGGGCGGTTCCCCCTGCCACTTTCCCCACTTCCGCGGGGGAGCGGCACACCGCCAGCCGGCTCTCTCAGGGGCTGCACAGGTGTTCCCCTTAGATGTTCCTGGTGCATGTTGTCTCTCTCCTCCTTTATAGTCCTCTTCCGCCAATCCCAACTCTGCTACCCACACGCCGAGTATGCTGCTCTCCTCCAATCAGGAGCAGCTCCTGCAGCTTGTCAAGTTGGTGAGAGGCAGCTGTGCGGAAGCTGTTTACTTCTCTCCCAGCGCCATATTGTGGGAGAGCAGATGCATAGAATAAGTCTTAATTCCAGTAACTTAGCCTAGTCCGAGTTGCTCCCCACAGGCTGGCACTGCTGCCCAGCCGTGAGGCCGCCGTCTGCAGCGCCAGCATCCCATCTGGGCGCTGGTTCCAGTCCCGGCTGCTGCACTTCCCATCCAGCTCCCTGCTGTGGCCTGGGAAGGCAGCGGAAGATGGCTTCTTGGGCCCCTGCACCCACATGGGAGACCCAGAGGAAGCTCCTG